CATTATGAGTCAGAGATGCAGAGAAGAGACAGGGGAAGGATCCCATTAGAATGAATGATTTTCAGGATCCAAAGGAGAGTAAACCCCAGAAGCAATTTGGTTCAGTTCTCCTGTGCTTTGTGAAAAATCATTTGAAATAGTGCACTGTGCTATAAATAGGCTGTGATGCAGCAGGAAAAATTCAATTGAAGAACTGGGCACATTATTTGTTATTTGTAATCCACTGAAACACTTAGAATCTCCAAAACTGGATCATTACCAAACAGCTGACAATCTGCCTTCTCAGTGCCTTCTTTACTTCTTTGTTTCTTAGGCTGTAGACAAGTGGATTTATCATGGGAGTCAGGACAGCATAAAAGACTGAGAATATTTTATTGAGCTCTCTCAGTGTCTCTGTATTTGGTAAAATATAGACGATAGTTATTGTGCCATAGAAAATGGTAACCACAATGAGGTGAGAGGAGCAAGTAGAAAAGGCCTTTTGTCTTCCACTGTCAGAAGAGATTCTCAGGATGGTGGAAATAATGCAACCGTAAGATATCAGAGTCAGCAAAAATGGGGGAATAGTGAATGCAGAGGAAACAAGAAAGATGAGAATCCTCAAAAGATGGGTGTCGCTGCAAGATAGTTCTATGAGTGGAAATACATCACAGAAGAAATGATTTATTTCATTGGGACCGCAAAAAGCTAATCTGGACGCTAATATTATTGTTACAGAAATAGCAAGAAATCCACTGAGAAAAGAGCCACCAACTAACTGCATGCAGAATTTGCCATTCATGCGAGTTGCATAATGCAAGGGTTGGCATATAGCTAAATATCGATCATAGGACATCACAGATAAGAGATAGCACTCAGCTGCACCAAGTGATGCAAAGAAGTAATGTTGGGCAAAGCACTGATTGAAGGGAATGGATGTGTTCCCAGTTAAAAGGCTGAGCAGAGTCTTTGGCAAAATGGTAGAACTATAGCAGGTCTCTAGGCAGGAAAAATTCCCAAGGAAAAAGTACATAGGAGTATGAAGCTGTTTATCAGCTATAACAAGCATCACTATGAGGATATTCCCAGCCAAAGTTACCATGTAAATAAAGAGAAAGAACAGGAAGAGCAGGGCTTGCAATTCTTGGAGATTCCTGAATCCTATAAGGATGAACTCAGTAACATTTCCTGGAATTTCCAAATATGTGTTGTGTAGGACTTGCATCTCTGAACACAGAAATATATTCA